GATAAGGTAAGAGTTTAGGTGTTTATTTATATAACATATATTTTGCTAAATTAAATAGATGCTATTAAGTATGATTTAATGAATTTAAGTAGTGGTTAAAGAAAATTTGATTCAATTAATTAGGGTTTTAGATTGTGGTTTTGGTAAAAGAAGTAGAATAAAAAAAGGAGATGATAGTAGAAGGAAGTAATCAAATGATTAAATTTGTAAAGAGGTCTTTTAAGGCAAAATGTGAGTAATTACTTTCTTATATGTATTAAATTGATATTTTATTAAATAAAGACTTGCATTATTGCTTCAAATCCTATCCTTGAAGGCAGGGAAACAACACAATAGTATCAGGTCCATATCCGGATTATAGTTATATGCATGTTGCAAGTTAAAAGAATTATTGAAATGAATGAAATGAAATGATAAAAAAGAAAAATAATTTTTCAATGATTTTAAAAAGAAGCAATTAAATGAAATGAAATGTAAATACTTAAGTTATTCAATATTACCCACATATCGTACTGACAGAGAATGCAATGTACTCGTGCACAAAAAAGAAATGAGAATGGTAAAGATGTATCTACATGTGCAAAATTTTGAGAGTACGTATGAGTATAATTTTGAGGATACCTTCAGATATGACTATAATCCTGATATTACTTTTTAAATTGGTTAAAATAGCTAAATACTTAAATTGAAATGGAAATTGTTAAATTAATAATGAAAGCTTGCAGTCTGATTTATCATTAAATTACATTTTCTGGGGGCATACACGAATAGCATTTGCATATTAATGTAGTGCATGAGAAGATTATAATTACTCACTAAGTGGTATAACTTATTTTTGAAAATTAATGGTTTTTTTCAAGAAAATATTAGATTGATATGATTGACAAATGAGAGATGATTTACAGGTTTATTGATGATAGGTAATATATTATGTATTATGGTTGTCTTTATTGCACTGTTTACTTTTGAGTAGTGATATATTGTTGTGTGATGATTTGAGATATTTTACTTGCAGACTATGTTGTTTTTTTTGGATGATTTAATTTTTCATTTAGTGTACCTTGTGATTTTTAATGCCTCTTTTATTATTGTAAGTTATGTGGATTATTGAATGATTTAAAAGAAAAAGGTAAATACTGTTTGACCGATGTTTCTGACTTGGTTAATTCCAAGCTATCAGGTCGGGTCGTGACTGACGAGAAAGCATCAGGGTGCGGGACGTGTGTTTTCTTGCAATATCGCAAGTTTGCATTTTGTGGCTCTTGTCATCGTTGAAGTCCAACCATCTAAATATTATTTTTTTATGTTATTTTGTTTCCTTTATTTTCATTAAGCTTGTTTTACTTCTTTTTTTTTTTTGCTCTTACCTATTTTTCTAGTTTCTAATTAAGTTATTTTTTATTATGGGACATTTATATAGATTGTATTCTGGTTTTTGTCACTTTTGGCTATTGCTATTGTGTTTCGAGACGTTGGTCTCTGGCATAAGCTCTTGGGAGTGCTTTATCATTTTTTTTGCAAGTAGTGTGTCTGTATCTTACTCGGGAACAAGTGGTGGAACCTCATCACCACCCGTATCTTGCCTTTTCACCATATGACGTGTTGTTTTTAGCTGGAACAACCACCGACGTCATTGAATATGCTGTTCAACAACAAATTTAGCCTTGTAACCCCTTTCAAACACCTTAGACCACTTGTATTAGCCTTCCATGGCTATTTCATAATCTCCTCCCCACGAAATCCTCTTTCTAAATACCTAGAAGGTATGAAACGGTATCATTTGGTATCATAGTTCAACAAACTCTATATTTTTTAGGGATTTGTGTTTTTTGCTCCAAATCTAAAACTAAAGAAAAAATTCACACCATATCCAAACTTCTTCTACCACAAATCCTTGCCCAAATTCTAAATTTTCAAAATTCAATCTTACTATCTTTACAAAATTTCATCCCGACACCTACCACCAACACCTAAACGCCTTTTGATTTGCAATTCTACGTTCATCGAAAACTTGATCGGGAAAAAAGGATGCCTTGCAGCCAAGTAGAAACTACTGGAGATGTCTAGGAACTTACTATGGAGGATATGCAGTAGGAAATCCTCCAACAATAACAGAGATTCGTCGCTTTCGAGAGGAGATATTCATGTGAGGTCTTCTATAGCCACAATGGTGATTTGTCAAATCAAGGTTTGGAAGTGAATCCCTTCCATCGGGAAGTTTTTGGTGACGAGAAATCAATACACCAATGATTTGACATGAAATATCAAAGTCAGGATCTTCGAGTAAATGTAAATTTATCGGATTTTGATGGTTGTGTGGATCGGGACGAGTTCATCGAGTGGCTCCAAATAGTGGAGTATGTCTTTTAGTATAAGGACATTCCACCTGACATAATGGTAAAAGCTAGTTGTCATTATGTTAAAAAAGAGTGCATCTCAATGGTGGGAGAATTTGAAGCGCCTATGCTATCATGTGGAAAAAATAAAATTACTACCTGACTGAAGAGGAAAAGTAAAATATTCTTGAGATTTCACTACATAGAATAAAAATATCTCTCAATAGAATATACAACTAAGTTCGAGCTGTTATGTTACAATGTGAGCTAGTGGAGCCCGATGAGAACACAATGGCTTGATATCTGGGAGGACTAAGACCATCTATTGGCAATGTGGTACAGTTATAGCTTTATTGGATAATACATGATATTCAGACCCTATCCTTGAAAGTAGAGAGACAACACAACAATATCATGTCCATATCACCCTTCAAATAGGGTTCAATTATAGGATCAAGCAACAAGAATACACTGAATAGAGCACCGAAGTCAACCTTGCTTGAGGAGAAACCTGTACAGAGTGGAGAAAAGGTGGAGACCGTCGGTACTATTAAAGCTGTCCCGGTCAGGAAATGATAGAGCCATAATTTTGAGTACATTGCGTTTCATCACCTAAACAAGACTGTGATCTCTTTTACTAAGCAGGGTGTAGTTGAAGAAATGAACAAGGACATAGGAGAGAATGAAGACATCACAAAAGGGTCTCAACTTTTAACCGACAAAGAAGAGATGTTAGTGATTCAAATTGAGCCCAAAAAAGAGATCACAACAGAATTAACATTGATTGTTGTGAAAGATAGTGATTCCAAGGAGTCGATACACTCAGCCGAGTATGAGGAGTGAGAGAAGTTTACGTGTTTAATGACTCGATATTTGGTTCGTGAGAATATATCTATGTGTGAAAAAAGGATGGTTATTTATTTTATCAGGATAAACTTTAGAATGATGACATGTTTTAGAGTTATTTTGGATAGACGTGACCATTAACTTTTTAGTGGGGCTCCCCCAACCACAACAATGCAATGAGTTTTTTTTTATTGACCTGGGTATAGTGAAAGAAGCAGACAATGAAGACTTTGAAAATGAGTAGATTTGAGATTAGTATTAGCTACCTATAGATGATGGTGAAGTTCTCCAAACCGAGCCCAATAGGAATTTGCAGTGACTTAGACATAATAACTTCCATATACGATGTACTGCATAAGGGAATTTGCGTAATCTCATCATAAGATGAATGTGTTGAGAATATGGTATCCACACAAATATTGGACAAATTGAGCCTCACTGCTCATAAGCATTCCTAGACATTTTTTTGACTTGGTTGAAGAAGTGAATGAGATCAGTGTTGATAAGAAATGTCTAGTAGAGTTTTATTGGAGACAAGCTACAAAATCAGGTGTGATGTGATGTTGTGCCCATGAATGCATGTTTTATTCTTTTTAGCTGATTATGAAAGTATGAAAGAACAAACTCCCAGTTTCAGCATAGCTGTTTTTGTTTCCTTATTTTCCACCAAATCTTTGAACTTAAAGGGAAAACCACGCATTGGATTATTTACTGTATCTTATCTCTCTTTATTTTGAAAGAATAAACAAAGCTGAAAGCCCTCTATGGAAATTTGTACTTTCCTACTTTCTTAGCAAAGATATGATGCAACATTTAAACACTATAATAATATAGATGAATAGGCGGGACCAGAGATGTTTTCTTCTTTCAGTTTTCGATATTGTTGTGCAAATCATAAACTAATTCTCTAAACTTTTGGTTGGCGGTTCCCTGGTTCCTTGGGTAGTTTATAGGCTGCATGAACACTAGCTTTCAAAGAAAGGCTTTCAGTAAAAAACATTTATTTTTTAAAATTTTTTTGGTGGTGCCAATTTTGATGTTTGCTTTCAGTATATGTAATTTTAGCGGTTCAAGAAGGCTGAATACATAATTGCTTCAGTTATTTGCTTGGATACATGATATGTCAACATTCTTTGGGTCTTATTGCCTTTTTTTTCCCAAGCTTTCATTTTGAAGGAAATGACATGCCCGATTATATTTTAGCAGTTTACCACATATAGTCAATTTATAAATTATGTACATCTAATCCTCCTTCATCTTGGAGGAGAAGCAAGAATCATCCTTATATTGTTCCCATCTGTTTTATGTTAAATCATTAGCATGGCTGTCATCTATCACAGTGGTACGCATGTAGTCTTATCACTAAAATGACATTTTCATTGTGCTAATTTCCATGTGACAACAAAATTTTAACTTTGTCAATATGTTTACTGCAGACCAAGTCGAGCAACTTTACAAACCTTGGTTTTTAATTTTTAACTATACTCTTAGCCATTAGAGACTATCCTTAAGCATTGGTCACCACATTAAGGCTCTTTATATCTATTTATTTAATCCAACTTTAGGGGAAGACTTGTCTTGGCTTTAATCTCGGAAGCGCAGTTTGCTATGAATGCTGATGTAGTAAGTTAGATGTAGAATGAAATTGTTTATTTTCTGCGTTCTGCGTTATCTATATTAAGACTTACATATTTCTTGTCTTTCAGCTAATTTCAACACTTTATCTTTATATGTGTAATAATTACCTATGTGTAGAGAAAATCGCCTATAAAAAGTTTCTTCATATTTGATTTAACTAGACCTGAACTGATAAAACAGCGATGATATACAAAACACGCCACACCATGCTTGGTCCGAAATTGAAGTTTTGAGATTAGCTTCTGGAGTCGAATCAAATACCAACCATCCACTTGGAAAAGCAATTATAGATGCCGCACGTGTTGCTAACTGTAATAATGTGAAGGTAATCTGACAAGTCTTTTAAATGTAGCAATTTCTGCTTATTTATACGGGGGTATTCCCTTATTGTGAATCTGTCACGTTTTGTGCTGTAAAATATTTTACAAGCCCACTGGCATACTTTATGCTCCTCCACTTGAAACATTAAATCCACGAATGAGAAAAACATGACTGATCATACATATGTGGTTTCTTCTTGTTTTCAATTTCTGCTAATCTTTGAAAAAATTCTCTAGAGGTAGCGAAGAGGAGAGCCGATTCTTTGAAAAATTTTTATGAAGGACATTAAAAGATATTTCAAAGTTTAAAATCTTATTGGGGGTCCTATTTTTGAGAAATGTAGCAGTAAGAATGGTTTCACCCTAAAAATATTAGACACATGATTGATAAATAGCAATGCCCGAGCTACCTATAATAAGTGCTTGTTTTTTTCTTTTAGCCACGTCATTTTGTTGTGAAATGTCGACACAAAAGCTTTGATGAATTATTCATTTTTCTAGAAAGAATTGGCCCAAAGTATTTTTAAAATACTCTCGGTTATTATTAATTCGTAATATTTAAATAATTTTTTGAAATTGTGTACCAATGCGTAAAAATATTAAAAATTATCCACGCGTCAAAATTTTCTTTTATCAAATAAACTCAACTTAGCCTAGTTTATTCATCACTGAAAGTCACAAACCATTTTTTCTCAGAATGTGAGGTTTTTACAATGACCCCTGATATCACTATGAATCAGAATAATTGGTATAGTTGGTTTGTATAATTGTGAAAAAAATGATGCACGATGATGTTTAGCAAACTGATAAACTTCACATTGAATTAAAGACAGATTTTTATGCTGAATAATTTGGGAAATCAATATTTTTTATTTTGAAAATTAAGATGACCTAACTTATAATGTCATAACATAGTTTCATTGTATTAGAAAATAAAATTTAAACCAGTATTTTGACATTATTTCTTCGAGTCAAGTCCATCGTCAAAATAATAGTCTTTTCTTTTTTTTTAGCACTGTCAATCTTCTCTCTGTAGTCAATTCTTGAAACTCATAACAAGAAGAATAGAAATTAGCTTGACAAGAATGATTAACAATAATTTTACTAGTGAACAACAAGCTACACATTAGATTAGGAACATGGAGAACATCATGAACTGTTAAGAATGAGGAGAGTTTTATAGTTCCTATCTCGACAATCACCAAGAGGTTATTATCATCAATTTTGACATTTTTATTTTCTGCACAAGGTCTACATGAGGAAAATAATTTAGAGCAAGCAATCATGTGATCAGTTGCACCAAAAATAATTATCCGGGAATGAGAAAAATTAGGAATAACACCTAACAGAGTAGTGACCGAAGGTACTAAGGAGCAGGATGTAGTCAATTTTGGAAATTGAAACAATTTGTGCAAGTGCTCTAATTGCTTCTTAGTGAAAGATACTACATTCAAGTTAGCATGCACCTCTTGAGTTTCTTCAGCAGTGGTTTGATAGGATTGACTTTCACACTTGTATTTTGATTTTCAATGCAACTTTACCATGAAGCTTCCAATATTTCTTCTTCATGTGCCATGATTTTTTGCAAAGCTCGGATCATTGCTTTTTGCATCTTTTTTTGTCAGCATCAACCCCTTTTGACACATAAGTTGAGTTCTTTCGTTCATTGTTACCAGACGATTTGGTGTTGTACAATATAATTTTTCTTCTTAATTCTTCACATCTAACTTCAGATAAGACATCTCGAATTGAGGGTAGTTGTTTCCTACTAAGGATTCGACCTCAGACTTTGTATAAACTTTAATTATCTAAGCCGAGTTATTTTCATCTCATTTCTTGTGGCGAGCATAATCATTTAAATTCAAATTCTCTCAAACGTCATCAAAACATTGATCAAGCTCTTGTCATAATATTATCAACTCATTGCAATATATAGTGAAATCACATCCATTTTTTTCTTGGATTTCCAAAGTTGAGTTTTCAACTAAAAAATTTGTGAGGAATTCTTTCAACCTGAATAGAGATCTCAAAAGACCTCTCAGAAATCTCGAGTAGTGGGAAGGAATATATAGGCTTTCTTATGGTAGATTCTATGGAGTTGATGATTCATTTCATTACCCGAGAGTTAGGGCTGTCAAAAATGCTCTTTGTTCGCGAAATGCTCGTGTTCCATTCTTTTTAGCTCAAAATAAAGAAATCATTTATATGATTTATATAATAATATATTTTATATACTATTTATATAATTATTTATTATATCTATTTATATCTAAGTTTAAATCATAATAGCTCGTGTGGTCATATGATTCCACGTCTTCTATTGCACAGAGTTTGTGCGGGTTCAAATCCAACTCTACATCTATTTTTTTCAATTAATTTTAATGAGTCAATTTCGAGCCGAACACGAACAAAAATATTTAAATTGAGTTAATTTCAAACACGAGCCGATTTCAAAAACGAGTACTCTTGAGCCTAACACGAGCCTAGCCTGAGCTTGCTCAAGCTTGACTTTTTTACATTCTACAGAGAATATTTCAGACTATCTTTTTTTTTAGATTCGGATCACTAGTAGTAAGTTTTGAAATTTATGATGTTAAATACCTAATTTTGCCTCTCGTTGTTTGTCAATTTATGGATTGAGCCCACTTGAGGTAACTATGTTCATTAAGTTTGTGAGGTAAGGTGATAAATTTCGAGGAAAATATTCAGCTGATACACCCATGAGAGGAGTTATAGGGTGAGGTTAGATGGTTTCAGATTATTGGAACCAGTCCATGTGGTTGTATTTTTTTGAATTCTAATCTTCATTGCTAATTTGTACGACATCCTTAGAATCTGTGAAGAGCAACACGTGCTGTGGCTACCTCGAGCGAAAAGAGAAACACACTTTCGTTCATATACGGGCTAGACCTATGCAGTTTCGACACCACAGGAAGACAAGAAGTCCACGTGAAGTTGGGTCTCTGATCACTGCGGTCCAATCATTGCTTTCCCAACTGGTTCTTATCTTGACTGTATCATGCTGGGCTTTGAACTTCAAAATCCAGTCGTTGCCTTTGCAGCAAACTCTGATCACGAATTTTTTGTGAGGGGTTTATGAATGCCGCGATCCAGGCGTTGCCTTCCCAGTGGGCTCTAATCACAATTGTAAGGCTAGTTGTTGTGGTTTTTTGAAGGCGAAGGCGAGCGCTGATACGTTGTGGTTTTTTGGAGGGAAAAAAAATTTATTCCTTTTCACCTTTTTAGAAAAAGATTACAAGATAAATAGAGGTGGATGACTCCCACATTTGGAAAGTAATAAGGATTAGCCAAACTCCCCATTATGAAAGAAGGAATTAAGAATTATGACATACCAATATTTCTAACTTCTAGAAATAGAAAATACTAATAATATAATATATTAAAAATTAGGCTTACTAAAACTCCTACAATATTTTAAATGAATCCCTTTGAGCAATTCTTCTTATCAAAGTTTTCAGGATTCTTAAAAAAGTGCATTTTGCTTTACTATAATAAAAGATTACAAGAGGTGTACAATGCAAGGCACTTAATCTATTAGTCATCCCCAATTAACCTCAAAAAATAAGTGTCCCAGTTTGTAGTTTTCCAAATAAATAAGCTATGCAAAGCAAGCTGACCACAAAAAATGGGCTGCTTTGTTGAGATCTCTAGAAAAAACAAAAATTCACTTGTCCAAATGAAGCTGAGATGACTAATTCAACTCCAATGTGTTGACCTCATTTTTGTGAGGTCTTTCATTCCTCTTCATAGAGCTTAGGATCTAGCCATAGGACTTTCCTATCGACTATCTTAGAGGACTAGAACTGAGACCCACCCTTTTTAGAAATTCCACTTCCTATTTCTCTTATGATGTCTCGCATTGAGATCTCAAAACCTCTCGCATTGATGATCTCAAAACCATCGTCGTATGGTGGACTATCATGTGACTATCATGCGGAAACTCAATGAGAAGTTCCCAATAGGATCTCAAGCCCTAGGAAAATCTCTTTAGGACTTCATCATCACGCACACACACAAAATGCACAAAATTTACTAAGTTGTACAAGATCAAACTAAAATTGAGCTTAAATGATGGATAAAAATACAAACTTCTCCGGACGACAAAATGGACTGCGTCAACGCGTCCGAGACACCAATTTTAGCTAGGACCAATTTTAGCTAGGAAAGATTAGCTAGGAAACACACTCATATTGCCATAATTTTCGAACACGAGAAAATTGCACGCAAATTGATGGATTCATCAAAACGACATCCGACGATGAAACGAATCACACCAACGCGTCCGAAACGTCAGAATTACCTAGAAAGGTCATCCATTTTGTTATGATATGACGCAAGAATAAAAAGTACAAATGAAAATTTTATTTTTGAAATATTAAATATTTTTATATTTATATCATTATTTATAATAAAATTTATAACCCTAAACCCTATTTACCCCTTTCCCGCACACTTAACTCTCCATTTGACCCATCCCGCGACTTGATCAGCCGTCCGACTTGTCCCTGTGTGCCCTAGATCCCGTGGCTCATCCACGCGGCGATCTCCCTCTCTCTCAACTCTTCTCCTTCCTCGCATGGTCGCTCGATCACTTAACTCTCCAATCGTGGGAGCTCGACTGACCGACCCTTCTCATTCTCGAGGCTTTACTTTCTCATCCTTTATGGTGACGATTCACTCCTGTTGTTTTATTCGACCACAAAACGGTGGTAGGTGGCGGTTCTCCCCTTCATCTCTGCCTATAAAAAAGCTTCCTAAATTACTGTTTTAGGTTGTTGAAAATTTTGAGAGGGAAAGGAAGGCTGAGATTGTTTTGCTAGTTGCTGTTTAAGGCTCTTAGGGGGAGGCTTTGCCGAAATTCCTTCTTGGCTAGGTTCTTGTGTGTTGGAGTGTTCGTTAGTTGCTGTTTCTCGAAGCTTTTAGGAGAAGGGTTTCTATAAGAGGTGTTTTCTTGAATCTGTCTATAATTTTGCTTTGAGTCTGC